CTGGCCGGCCGGGGAGGGGCGAGCGCCGGGAGGGGGCGGGGCCGAGGCCGGACGGGGCGGGGCGTCGGAATGGGGCGGGGCTGAGGCCGGACGGGGCGGGGCGCAGGGAGCGGGGCGGACTCTCGGCGGCTCGGGCGCCCCCTGGTGGCCGCGGAGAACTCTGGCGCAGGTGGCCCGGGAGACCAGCAGAGCAGAGCCCAGGTCACCGGGGCAGAAGCGGGCAGTCAGAGAGGCGGCGCTCACAGCCTGTTGGATTGTCAAGAAGCCAAGACAGGACAGAGGAAAGCAAGAGAGATCGTTGGAAGGGGTGACCTGTGTGTGTTGTAGGGTGTGTGTGGGGGGGCGGGGTAGCAGAGACTGATCGGGCTGCAGAAGGATAGGAAGGAGGGATGTCTAGGGGCCTGGAGGCTGGAGTGGCCTGATGGTCCCACCGTGTGGCCGGGGTCAAATGGTAGCCCTCTCTTCCCTGGGCCTCTATCTCTCCCCCAGACCAAATCCGGGAGGCGGAGAACCAGAGACTGACATGGGAGGCAGGCGGGGGAGACTGAGGCCAGGGTCCTGGAGTGGCGGAGAGAGGGGCTGGGGATGCTGACCAGACGGAGCGGAGCGCCTCCGTGGGGAGAGGCTGGGGCCTCAGGGAGGTCGCTTTCCTGGGCTGTGAAGTGGGCGCGACGTGAGACCAGCACTGTCTCTCCCCCCACAAGTGACTTCTGATGCCTGTGCTGAATGTGAGCGTCCCACCGCCCGCCCTAAGGCTCGTCCTTTCCTCCAAGGGCTGCAGCTGCGGAGAGCCGGCGCAGCCTGAAAGCCTTTTAAAAAGTGAACGGTTGCCGAACCGGTTTGGCTCAGTGGATAGAGCGTCGGCCTGCGGACTCAAGGGTCCCAGGTTCGATTCCGGTCAAGGGCCTTGGTTGCGGGCACATCCCCACTGGGGGGCGTGCAGGAGGCAGCTGGTCGATCTCTCTCATTGATGTTTCTAACTCTATCCCTCTCCCTTCTTCTCTGTAAAAAATCAATAAAATATATTAAAAAAAGAAAAAAAAGTGAACGGTGATAGAGAGCAAAAGCCAGCTGAGCCCGGGCACGCTTTCCCCTAACAGTCCATTATGAAAAGTATCAAACGTACAGGAAGAGCGAAGGGATTTCACGGTGAACTCCGGTATAACCACCGATGCTGAATCCTCAAGATGCTCCAGAAGAAGAAGAAGAAGATGGAGAGAATAAGACAGCCTGATATTATTGCCCTGGCTGGTTTGGCTCAGTGGTTGGAGCGTCGGCCCGTGGACTGAAGGGTCCCGGGTTGGAATCCTGTCAAGGGCACATATCTCGGTTGCAAGCTGGGTTCCTAGCTCTGGGGCAAGCAATGTGTCTCTTACATCGATGTTTCTCTCTCTCCCACCCCCTCCCACTCTGCCTGAACATCAATGGGAAAAATATCTTCAGGTGAGGATTAACAACAACAACAAAAGACAGTTTGATATTATGATATTAGCCCCAAGACAGATTCCAGCAGGCATGGCTCAGTGGTTGAGCGTCGACCTCTGAACCAGGAGGTCAGGGTTTGATTCCTGGTCGGGGCACATGCCCAGGTTGTGGGCTCGATCCCCAGTGTGGGGCGTGCTGGAGGCAAGCGATCCATGATTCTCTCCCATCATTGATGTTTCTATCTCCCTCTTGCTCTCTCTTCCTCTCTGAAATCAATTAAAAAAAAATTTTTTTAAAAAGTAGACAGACAAATGGGGCCTCAAACAGAAACCAGAACCAGACTCACACGCATAAACATGGATGTGTCAGAGGCAGCAACACATTGGGAGGAGGGGAGAGAAGGAAGTATGATGGACTATTGGATAAATTGTGCCAAGAAAATGGGTTAACCATAAGAGAAGACATGACATTGGACCCCTGCTGCATTTCACACACAAGATATCAAGTTCACGTGGATCAGAGACCTAAATAGGAAACGTCATACTTTAAACATTTTTAGAAAGAAACACAGGAGAATATCTTGATTCCTTTAAGGTCAGGAGAGATTTCTTAATCCAGAAAAGCAGAATGTAAAGGAAAAGGTTGAAAAAGTTCATTAACAATAAAATGAAAAACTGTCAGTCAAAACCCGCAACCTTTTGGTGCATGGGACGATGCTCTAATCAACTGAGCCACCCGGCCAGGGCGCGTGACTATTTTTATAACCGGCAATTTGTACTTCTTCATCTTTCAACTTTTCCGCCCATCCCCCCACCTCCCTCCCATCTGGAAAACATCAATTTGCTCTCTGTATCTCTGAGTTTATTTCGGTTTTGTTTGTTCATTTATTTTGTTTTCTTGGATTCCACATGTAAGTGGAAATCATACGGTATTTGTCTTTCTCACCATGAATATTGAGCACACAAAAAAGCAAGTTTCAAAATAAGACACGCTCTGTAAGCTCAAAACCACCAGGACTTATAAGACTAACGCACAAAAATCTGTTGTGTCGTATACACCAGCAATAAACAATCCAAAAGGAAATTCAGACAGCAATTCCATTTACAGTAATATCCCAACGAATTAAATACCTGGGAAGAGATTGAAACAAGGAGGTGAAAGACTTGTGCACTGAAAACTACAGGACATTGCTGAAATAAATGAAAGAAGACCCAAATAAGTGGAAAGACATCCCTCTTAATGAACTGGTAGATTTAGTTTTGTGAAAATGGCAGTACTACCCAAGCAACGTACAGATTCAACACAATTCCTACCAAAATTCTAATGACCTTTTAAAAAATATATAGTTTTTTATTTATTTCAGAGAGGAAGGGAGAGAGAGCTAGAAGCATCAATGAGGGTGGGGTGGGAACCAGGTGGAGGGGAGCTATGGGGGTAAAAAAGAGGAACAACTGTAATAATCTGAACAATAAAGATTTAATTTAAAAAAAGAAACATCAATGATGAGAGAGACTCATTGATCAACTGCCTCCTGCACGCCCCCCACCGGGGACCGAGCCGGCAACCTGGGCAGGTGCCCTTGACTGGAATCGAACTTGGGACCCTCCAGTCCGCAGGCTGACGCTCTATCCACCGAGCCAAGCCGGCTGGGGCCCTATGTGATCCTCTATTCTTTGTGTGAGGTCCTCACATTCGTTAAGAAATCACTCCTCGGGCGTTGGAGGCCCCTTGGTGTCCATGGAGAGTCTTGCTTCTCCGACTCTGTGAATGTCCCAGCCCATCTGTCAGCCCGGAGGACAAGGCTGCCAGGACACACGCTGTAATTAGCCAGTCTGTGGCTTCCCCATCTGCCTACTTTCACTACTTGTCCCCTACCTCCCACCTTCCCACCCAGGCAGGGGGTCCTCACTGCCCCCCCCAAACACACACACACACACACACACACACACACACACACCCCAACCAGACGAGGATCCTTGCCAACCTCTGTTCCCGCGGACCTAGAATGTGCTTCTGTTTCCCCACAAACATACACATCCTAGCCCCCCATCAGTGGCAGCTGGGAGCCCTTGTGAACTTGGTGAGTAACCAGAGCTCTTACCCTGTGGTTACCCCCTGCAGGGCAACCCTGGCTTACCCTGGAAGAGACACTTCTTGAGAATGTAGTCTCCACGTGGGAGGGTGTAGCCCAGCCCGGCCTTCTGCTTGGGGTGAGGTGGGGTGGGGTGGGGTGGGGCAGGCGGAGGAGCCAGAAGTCGCCGCTGGAGGGAGTGTAAGCTCAGGAACAGGGCAGCAAGGCACCAGAGCTTGGCTGCAGGGAGATGAGTGCTGGGCAAGGCCCTGCTTGGGAGCAGGGCACCTGAGGCCGGGGAGCCTGGAGGACCCCAGGGGGAAGGAAGGGATCCCAGCTGGAGAAGAGGGGGGCCCCCGGGCCTGGTGCTGACCCCCAGGTCCCCAGGTTCCCAGACGGACAGACAGGATGCTCAGCCAGACGAGCCAGGCCTGCGGGTGGGTTCCAGCTTGCTTCGCTTCTGAGGCTGGGCGGGGAACTGGCAGGGGGCCGGGGGCCAGCCAGCTCCCTTTGCCTGGCCTGTGCCCACCTGTGAAGTGGGAGACTCAAGGATTTAGGGGGGGCCCTTCCCATAGACATGCTGTGGCTCCGAGTGGCTCCTATCTTGGAGTCCAGGCTCTGGGCCAGGCCGTGAGCTGCTTGGAGGTCCCCACTGCCCCCCTCTCTCCCGTAGGAGGACCCAGAAAGAAATGAAACTGAAAGCGCGAGGCAGGGGGGGTGTCGCCCCAAATGGGAACAGGGTAGGGGCGACGAAATGTTTTAGACTCAATGCCAGGAACAGGGGGTGTGAGGGGGCCGTGGGCTCCCTGGGCATGAGATGGGCTCTCCAGCGTGGTACCCGGCTGTGCTGAACAGACACCGTCTGTGAGCCCTCGGACGGTGGTGCTGGCAGGAGGAAGAGGGCAGGGAACTGGAGAGCAGGTGCCTGCGGCAGGCCCCCCTGAGCTTGAACCTTGGCCTCCTGAGCTGCCAGGGGCCATGCAGTTAAGTGGCCACCAGGTGGCAGGCTAGTCCTCAGGGAAGGGGCCACACTGGGGCCGATAGCGTTGGTTTCTGCTGTTTGTACAGAGACGTGGGGGAGGCCATGCCTAGCTCACAGCAATGTACCCGCCGTGGGGACTGCAGGCCCTGTGACAACAGGAGAGGGCTGGGCTGGGCTAGGCTAGGGGCTATATTACAGAACCTTGTGGGTTGCTGACACCCCTTCACTGTGGGCATGAGCCCCGGGACATAGAACAAATTGTCTTAGAGAAATCTTAGCCCGGCCGGCGTGGCTCAGTGGTTGAGCGTCCAGCTAGGAGCCAGGAGGTACCAGTTTGATTCCCTGTCAGGGCGCATGCCCTGGTTGTGGACTTGATCCTCAGTGGAGGGCATGCAGGAGGCAGCTGATCCATGATTCTCTCTCATCGTGGACGTTTCTATCTTTCTCTCCCTCTCCCTTCCGCTCTCTGAAATCAATAAAAATATATTTTAAAAGAATAAATCTGGATTCTATCTTGAATGCAGGGAGTTGGGGTAGAAAGGACCCCACTCTTCTGGAGGGAGGGCTTGAACCAGCTGGTGTCAGAGCTGGGGCAGGGCTCCAGCCCCTCCCCCTGCCCCTCCCCTCCCTTCCCCTCCCCTCCCTAACCCTCTGGGGGAGTTCTTTAAATTTTTTTTGTTTCAATGACAGTTTATAGTCAGTATTAATTTGCATTGGTTTCAAGTGTACAGCATAGTAGTTAGACTTTACAAAGTGTTCCGCCCCCCGACCCCCCTGATATTTCCAGTGCCCACCTGACACCATGCATAATCATTACAGTACTACTGACTGTATTTCCTAGGCCAGTGATGGCGAACCTATGACACCTCTGACACGCAAACTCATTTTTTTGGTTGATTTTTCTTTGTTAAATGGCATTTAAATATATAAAATAAATATCAAAAATATAAGTCTTTGTTTTACTACGGTTGCAAAGATCAAAATATTTCTATACGTGACACGGCACCAGAGTTAAGTTAGGGTTTTTCAAAATGCTGACACGCCGAGCGCAAAAGGTTCGCCATCACTGGCCTAGGCTGTCCTTTACATCCCATGCCTATTTTGCAATTACCAACCTGTGCTTCTCGGTCCCTCCGCCCCGTTTCCACCCAGCCCCCCAGTCCCCTGGGGGAGTTTGCAAGTCCCAGCTCCCTGCCCCCCGCCTCTGCGCTCACAGGTAACTGGGCCACCCCATTCTAGAGGGATTTGACCCCAGGAGACAACTGGAGACGGGTGAGAAAGGGCTTAGGGATTAGACCAGGATATCTGGGAAGGGAAGGGACTTAATGAAGGGGCTCGGCTGTGGGAAGAGGGCGGGGAGAGGATTTGTGTCCTCACAAAGCCAGGTGGACTGCGCCCGACCGTGAGGAGGAAGGGGCCCCTGGGAGGAGCCCAGGGGGCTCAGTTACTCCAGTTCTGTTGTGTCTTCAGAAACAACACGTAATAGTGTTAACAACCCCGCACAGGTGTGGGCCCATCACCTTCCCAGCCATTATTCCCCTCGGAATTCTCACAGGGGCCTTGGGAAAGAGCCAGGGATTACATTTCCCCCCAAATGACCAGCCTGTTCAACAGGAGGCCCCCGGGGGAGGCCGAGAAGGAGGAAGACCTGCCACCATCCCTGTTCCCCGCTCAGTTCCTGGGGCGGCCCCCAGGCTCAGGGATCCCCGGAAAACCCTCTTCCCCTGGGCTCAAAAAACCTTTCTAGAAGCCTCCTGACCCCATACCCCCCAAGTTCCGATTCTTTATTTGGGCCCCCAACAGCCCATTCTCATCTGGGCATGCTCCCCACCCCCAATACTCTAAGTTCCACGGGGACAGTTTTATTTTATTTCTATATTTTAAATTTTTTATTTATAGATTAGAGAGGGGGGGGGGAGAAACCTTGATGTGTTGTTCCACTTATTGATGCATTCATTC